GTAAAGTATAGCCTGCACCGGTAGCCGCTTGCAGCCGCACATTTCCTCCTTCGCAAAAAGTAAGATTGCCGCTGGCCGTAAGTGTGGTAGCAGGCTGAACAGACATAGTAACCGCTATTGCTGGTCTGGATGTGTCTTTACAGCCAGTTGCTGTATTGGTTACCACTACACTATAAGTACCCGTAGTAGTAGCGGTGTACGATGTAGTAGTGGCACCTGCAATCACTGTATTGTTGCGCAGCCATTGGTAAGTGATACCTGTACCGGTATTGGCATTTAAGATAACGCTGCCTCCCTGGCAAAAGTTAACCGGTCCGGTTGCTGTTGCAGTGGCGGTAGGGATTGGATTAACCGTAACCGTTACCACGGCAGACGTGTCGGTACAGCTGCCATTGGAAAGTACCAGGCGGTAGCTGCCAGCTGCAGTAGCCGCATAAGTATTATTGGTAGCACCGGGAATATTAGCCCCATTAAGCCGCCACTGATAAGTAAGCCCCGGAGCCGTAGCAGGGCCAGTCAGCAAGGCTTGTCCACCCTGGCAGAAGGCCACCGTGCCAGCCGGAGCAACCGTAGCAACCGGGGTGGGCACAACGCTCACCGCGGTAACCACAGAAGTGTCGGTACAGATGCCGTTAGATACAAGCACCCTGTAATTGCCGGCAGTAGCAGCCGTATAAGTGGCAGTAGTAGCCGCTGCAATATTTACACCGCCCAGTTGCCACTGGTAGGTAAAGCCCGTACCGGCATTAGCCGTTAGCAGGATGGTCTGTCCATTGCAGATATTAGCTGTTGGGCCTGGTGTTATGCTGGCTGTAGGCCGTGGGCGCACCTGCTGAATGATCCGGTTGCTGGTCACAGAAGCCGGGCTGGCACAGGTCGCATTGCTGGTAAGCACTACCGTGATCGTATCACCGTCTACCAATGCATTGTCGGTATAAGTAGTGGTGCTGATACCGACATTAGCGGTTCTCTTTTTCCATTGATAAGTAGGAGCGGTGCCTGCATTGGTGGTGGTCGCCGTAAACGTAACGGGTGTACCTGCACAAATAATACCGGACGGGCTGGCTGTAATGCTT